GTCAATATGCTGGTCATTGGTAACACATTGGTTGTGACCATATGGAGAAAATAATAACCTCAGATATTTATGAATACACAAATTCGATGTGATTTTTACTTACTACTTGAACCTTGGGATGACTATTTCGATCTCAACCGTTTTACTTGACTTGTTTGGCCTGTTTTGAGACATGCATGGGTACTCTCATCGACCTGATCTGTACTGACTCGCCCTATTCTCGATCCATTTTTAGCATTTTCCTTTCATTATCTCATATTTTAGCTATCATGAAATAGTAAAAAATGTTGTCAAAGTCGCGTTTTAAAACTTAAACACTTACGGTTTTACACTTCAAGGTTACCAAAACGTTTTCGTTTCCATATAAAATCTTTAGTGTATGAAATAGGACTACATTGCGCTTTATTGCTTAAAAGCTTATGCTTTTAAGCTTCTAATTCACCAAAACATGATAGGCTTTTATGCTTTTAGTTCACTAAATGAGCATTCTTTTATAAAAAATGATATTTTAAAGGTAAATTACCAACAATATAATACATTTGAGATTAAAAGATACATACCAGGTACTTGGATGCATTCTCAACTTCAATAGAGTGATCTATTTCACCAGCTAGGCTCTTCCCAAATTCATTAGCATAGAAGGGAAGGTGGCTAATTGTTAAGAGTTATGTTTATGAACTTATTATTAAGATGCTATAAGTTGCTCTACTTTAGGCACGCATTGCAGGTATTTATCAATTTATCTAAATTCTGTGCACTCATATTTTACATAGTATATGTTGTACTTAACATATTTTTTTGTCATTTTACAGTATGCATAAAAGACTTACGCTTTTACACTTTGATTCTATGCTTACGATTTCATCCCTTTTCCGCTTCTAGGTAGAATCGCATTTTAACTGCATTGATTGTAAATAAGTGAAAATCTCAATTTCTCCAATAATTTAACCACATTTATCATATTATGGTTTGTTTCTTGGTCTTCTAATGAAAATAACGAATATTTCTAATATTTTCCATATAAATCACATACCCATTGGATCGACCTGCCTCGACCCACGCCCCATGATAAATTACCTGACCTGGACTCGACCTGCCACGGAACGGGTATGGGTATCGAGATACCCACAACGAACCTGCCCCATTGTCATTCCTAATCTTATGGATATCAATAAACCCGAACGGGTTAAGATAGGATAAATAGATATAACCTCTATCAACCTATTGTCAATCCTAATCTACATATCTTTATAGTTGTATTAATAGTTTGCCATTACCCATATATATGCACATTCAATAGTCTTGACTTTAGAACAGGGCAAACATTATTTATACATACTGCTCCCATTTTCACAACTTCTGGGCCTCATCACGTTTACTTTTTAAACACACTCCAAAACAACACAGAGATAAGAGGACATATATCCCCCTAAAAGCACCTATTTAATGTTCATGTGGAGGACTCAAACAAAGACCCAATGGTCAGTTCCTCTGTTACTATCTATATTTGTTTTTAACTGCATGGATGTATATGTAAAAGTTGTCTGTGTAGCTTTCTTTCATCTTTCTGGTTAGAAAGAGTGTCCACTTTAGACCTGAGAGCATTGATCCAACCCTGAGATTGGGTAAAGAAAATCTCACTTTTTATAGTAGCAAAGCTGCAGCAGGCTAGGGCAGCTTTCAGTGACAGTGATATTTGTTTGCTTTGTTTGTTTATTCAATTGAAAAACAAATGTGTTGTTTTTATTTTACTATCACATTCCCTCATGATGATCACTTTCATAAATCATATGACAGTCCTAGGAAAAGCACAAGGAATTAATAGGATTCCCTAAAGTTTCTGACTGACATAACCATCTTTAAACAACAACAACAGACATAGGGTTTTGTTTATTTTTTTTATATTTTGGTGGTGTGTTGAGAGGAATATAACATCATGAATAGAACATGGAAGACTGAGAGAGAAGGCTGCTGGCAGCTGCCAGTTACTACAACTACAACTACAACTCCTGTTAACATCAAAACCCAATCCATATAGCTTCTTTCCCTCTTGCAGAAACAAGAGGAAACTGTTGTCTGTGTGTTTGGTTTTTCTTTCTTTCTTTCTTGTTGGTGTGATGGTGATGGAAGAAAAAGTGGGTTTTCTGAAAAAATGAATAATTTGGCTGTGTGATGGGTCAAAATTTTATTATTATATTGTTGTGATTTATTATTGGAGAGAGGGGTTGGGAGGGAGTCCTACAGTACTGACTGAATTGAAGGGACAAAGTGGGGAAAGGGCAGTTAAGAGGTAGGGGAAAGAAAGAAAGTTCATCAGAGATGTTTTTGGTGGTGATTGGGGTTGGGTTTGTAGTAATGTTTCAGAAATTATATCCTGTCAATCTGACTGAAAATATTCGACCCCAAATCCTAAATGATAGGTAGTGTTAGCGGTATGAAACGATTGAATAGCAGTTTTAGTATAGAAATATCATATTTTTAACATTTTCTGTATAACTTATAGTACTGTTTCATAATTATTGATTTGTAGGCGTGAGAAAAAGAAAGAAGAAAAAAAGAGAGGAAGAAAGAATAGATATATGCAGAAAGGAACACAGTAAGAATCACGCCTAACAAAGGTCGTCCTTTGCCCTACTTAGTAAGAATAAATGCATGAAAATAATTTCGATTGGGCCCCAATGATTGAGTTTTATCATTCAAATAATTTGTGTACTTGTATATAATTTAGCACTAAATTTTGGTGCAAGGAAAATTATTCGAGTGGGAAGTAATGGGAAGTAATTAACGAGCTACATAATTAATCAGTTAATTTTATGGTTTTTAATCACTGCATAATGATTAATGAATAGGAGAGCATCCTTTCTAGATCATTAACAACATAGAGGGGTAAAATTACAAAACTTAAACTAGTTGGAACAAGAAAATCGATCGCTCACAAGATTACTGTATTTGTTGGAAGTAAATCTGTATTTGTATTTGGTTATTACAATCAGGATAAAAACCGGATGTGTTATTAGTCGATTGTGTCGAGTTAATATGAGATGAGATGATCACGCAATTTTTTTTCTTCTTCGACCTAATTTGGAGTCCAAATTATGTTTATAGATAGATGTATAAGTAGGGGGATTAGAGGAAAGCTTTTAGAGCATTAATAAGGGGGGCAATGGTGGTTGGTTATATTGTCACCCTCCCCTCCTCATCAATTAAATTTGCTTTTATCTCTGAACTTGCTCTTCAAACCACAAATAATAATATTGCCATATACATGTATTATATGAAAAAAAATAGGAAGGAGGAATAATATAAAAAGAAAAACAACAAAAGAGAGAAAAGCAAAGGTGTAGAATGAGACAAGGAGATATTTGTTATTTTGAAAAAAATGGCAAGTAATACAAGGAGGGCAAGGAAAAGGTGGTGCTGTCCTTTTCTTTCATTTTTATTTATAAAAAAAAAAAAGAAAGCTGATTGGGCCCCATCCCACAAACCCTCTTAATAATTCCATCATCTTCTCCTCCACCACCACCACCATCATCATCATCATCATCCCATCTATCTCTTCTTCTTCTTTCTTCCTCCCTCTCCATCTTTCACTTCATTTTCTCTCCCTCCCTTTCATAAAACTGAGTCTTTCCTGAGTTTGAAATTTTCTATTATTTTTCTGTTGTGGGGAGTTGGGTTTGGATTTGGAAGAGTGACACTTCCTAGTTTTCCCTTTTTATTAATTATTTTCTCTCTGTGATGATGATGATGATGCGAAGGAGGCTTGGGATCTTCCCTGTCACCAAACACTTCTCCTTCCCTTCTTCTTCTTCTTCTTCTTCTCTCTCTCTATTTTGATGTATCCCTTCGTTCATCTTCTCCTCTGAGTTCCTGTACATCCACAATTCTCTCTCCCCCTCTCTCTTTCTATACAGTTATCTCTGTCTCTGTGTGAAACAAAAAGGGTTTGTTGTGGATCCCCAGAGAAGGAAAGGTATAGCCCATACATACATATCAGCTAATGATTTGAAAAAGGAAGACCGAATTGTATATGAAGGTGTCCAATCAAGCACTACTGACACTTCAGAGCTAGCTAGATAACCTCTTCATTCGGTGATCCATTTCCAGGTAATTAATAACATATAAGTAGCCATGGATGCTGTTTCAGTTGCATATAAACCCTTTTTTCCCTTAAGAAATGGCACAGTATGTATGTCTGTCTGTATTACAAGGGAGGGAACTGACAAAATGGGTAATGATTCAACTTTCTTTTGGATTAATTAAGTACGCTGTAAGCAGCAGGAGGAGAGTGCTCACTCTCTGCAGCTTCCATCATCTATGGCCGCTTAATTAGCATAATTACTGCTGCTGTCTGCTCTCCTGCTGCTGCTGATGATGATTGCCAAAGATATGTTGTAGCTAGTACAGTAGGTAGCTGATGACGCACGTGTTCTTCTTCTTCTTCTTCTTTTTATTTTATTTTATTTTATATCACCCACTGCCTGCCTCTACTCCTGCAACCATAACTGCGATTTACTTAAGTCCCTCTCTCAGTTCCCAGCTTCTTCTTCTCTCTATAAAATAAAATCTCATATCCAGTCACTGCAAAAGTTGAAGAAGTTTTCCCTCCATAGATATATAATTCCTTCCTCTCCTTTACCAAATCTTTCTCTGCTCTGCTCTGCTCTCATCTGTTCTGTCAGATGGGCTGATCCCCAAATATAAAAAGGACAAAGCTTTTTTTTTTCCACCCAAAGGTCTCTGTCTCTCTCTGCCTGTCTGCACGAATGACTCATTTTCTTATTTTAATCAATTTTGTTCATATGTTAAGCTCTCTCTCTCTCTCTGACGCTTTCTTTCTCATCCAATTTGATTCTCTCTTACTTCCATGTTATAATTTGGTCCTGATTTGTGCCTTTTCCTTTGTTTGCAGCTCTGATACATCATCATATATTAAAATAGATCCACAAACTAGTGTGTCAGTCTCCCCGGGATTGGCTGCTGCTAATCACCATCCATCGATGGCGACTTACTACCACGGCAATCCCGAAATCCAACAAACTGCCGCGGCGGCGGAGGGACTCCAGACCCTCGTCCTCATGAACCCTTCTTACGTCCACTACTCCACCGACACCGCTCCGCCACCGCCACCGCCTCACCACCACCACCAAAACCCAAACAACCTCCTCATCCTCAACGCCGCCGCCGCCAACCCCCTCTCCTCCCCTCCGCCGCCGTCCCCCCACCACCACCACTACCAAAACCAGCAGCAGCAGTTCGTCGGCATCCCACTGGACCCGAACTCCCACCACCACCACCACGACTTGGGGCTCATCCCCCGCCTCCACTACAACCTCTACAACGCCGCCGCCGACCTCTCCCCCTCCGCGCGTGACACCCCACGCGCCCTCTCCCTCAGCCTCTCCTCCCAGCAGCACCACCACCACGCCGCCGCCGGGTACGGCTCCCAGTTCTCCGCCGGGGAGGACAACACCCGGGTGGTGCCGGGCGGGTCGGTTTCGTCCAATTCCGCCGCGGCGGCCGGTGTGGCCCCCGCCGCCGCCACCACCGGTATGCAAGGCGTGTTGCTCAGCTCCAAGTACTTGAAGGCCGCTCAGGATTTGCTCGACCAAGTCGTCAACGTCAACGCTGACGGTAACGGTAACGGAACCAACGGCGGAAACAAGCACTCCGAGGCCGCATCCAAGAAGGCCAGTAATAACAATCACAACAATTCCGCCGGCAGCAAAGCGGCGGAGCCTGGCGAATCGTCCGCCGGTGATGCCGCCACGGCGCCGCCAGAGCTTTCCACCGCTGACAGGCAGGAGATTCAGATGAAGAAGGCCAAGCTCATCAGCATGCTCGATGAGGTACGCAACCCTAGTCACTAATTAGTTTCTCTGTCTTTTTCAGGAAGTGATACATCCGAATTGAATTGTGGAATTTTGAATTTTTTGATGGAAGGTGGAGCAGAGGTACCGGCAGTACCACCACCAGATGCAGACGGTGATAGCGGCGTTCGAGCAGGCGGCGGGGATCGGTTCGGCGAAGACGTACACGGCGCTGGCGCTGCAGACGATCTCGAAGCAGTTCAGGTGCCTGAAGGACGCGATCACGGGGCAAATCAAGGCGGCGAGCAAGAGCTTAGGGGAAGAGGAAACCGTCACCGCCGGGGGGAAAATCGAAGGTTCCAGGCTGAAATTCGTTGATCATCACCTCCGGCAGCAGCGGGCGCTTCAGCAGTTGGGAATGATCCAGCACAATGCTTGGAGACCCCAGAGAGGCCTGCCGGAGAGATCCGTTTCCATTCTCCGAGCATGGCTCTTCGAGCACTTCCTCCATCCGTAAGAATTACGATTCCCCGCTCTCTGTAAATCGAAACTCTGTTTCAGTGTTTTTCCGAAGAGTGAAATAGTTGTTGCTCTTCTTCGTATGAATTTTCAGATATCCTAAGGATTCTGACAAGCATATGCTGGCCAAACAAACGGGGCTTACCAGGAGTCAGGTTTGTTTCTTTGGTTTCACTTTATGTACTGAAAGATTCTAGCGTTGCGGGCAAAGTGTTTGTGGAAATGACTCTGGGAAATTTCTGCAAATGAAAAAGAATGCTCGCTAGGTGTTTGTGGAAATGCTTCTGATAAACAAAATTTCTGTACGACAGGTTTCTAATTGGTTCATCAACGCTCGAGTCCGGCTGTGGAAGCCAATGGTGGAGGAGATGTACATGGAAGAAATGAAGGACCAGGAACTGAACGGGACAGCAGGGGAGAAGGCCACCAAAACCGACCACAACAACAACAACGAGGATTCGTCTTCCAAATCTGTTTCATTCCACGAGACTCAAATCAGAAGCTCCTTCAACAATAACTCACCAAACCAGCATGTTCCCTCCGGAATCTCAATCTCCACGGGAGCTTCAACTTCTCCTGCTGCCACCGCCGGCATCCTCCGAAACCAGCACTCAGCATTCTCCCTCACAGCCTCATCAGAGCTCGAAGGGATCACTCAAGGTTCCCCCAAGAAGCCGAGAAACCACCACATTGATCTGCTGCCTCTGCCATCGCCCACCAGCGTGGTCTCCACCATGGATGTGAAGCCCGGCCATGATTCGAGCGACGACCACCTGATTAAGTTTGTGGACGAGAGGCAGAGCAGAGACCATGGAGGGTACTCGTTCATGGGCGCACAGACAAACTTCATGGGAGCAGCTTTCGGGCAGTACCCAATTGCAGAGATTGAAAGATTCAACGCGGATCAGTTCACTCAGAGATTCTCCTCCGGCAATGGAGTCTCACTCAGTCTAGGCCTTCCACACTGTGAAAACCTCGCGCTGCCAGCTACCCACCACACATTTCTCCCCAACCAGAGCATTCCTCTGGGGAGGAGGCTCGACCTGGGAGAAACAAACGAGTTTGGGGCTATTACCACCACCGCGCCCCACTCGTCGTCGATGACGTTTGAGAGCATCAATATACAGAACAGGAAGGGGTTCGCGGCGCAGCTTCTGCCGGACTTTGTGACCTGAATCGGCCGCCGGTGAAGCAGAAAAGGCACTTCGGGATAGGTAAGGAAGTGCATGGTATTTATGATATGCATGATGGTTATTGGTGAAAGAAGCTGCCTGCAATGGAGGTGGAAAAGCAGATCGCTTTTTTTACGTTCTAGTATAGGTTCTTTATACTTTGGGTGGAGCAGTAGAACCATTTGAGTTCATAGACAGGGTAGGGGGAGGATGAGTATATTGATTTGGATAAAGATTTGTATATTAATTTTGCAAGTTTTGATGATGATTGGACATATAAATAGCAGATATACTTTTAGATGGATTGGATTTGGTAATGTCATAAGAATCAGGGGATTGGGGGTATACATAATGGAGTAGTGTATATTGATTGTGAGCAGGAATAAGAATAAGATTGTTGTAATTTCGTATGCGCTGTTTTTTATTATCGAATTTAGTATAACTGGCAACTCCTCTATTTTTGTTCACATTTTAGTCTGGACATTATGTTTCTTTTGTGTAATGAGCTATAAGAAAAGAGTGTGTTTATCTGTATACTTCATTGGATTTTTGTCAGGGGCGGAGCTATGTTCAAGGTAGGGTGGGCCTCGGCCCCCCCGGGATTGGTCTCGGCCCTAGGATATTAAGGATATTTTGTACAAATTTTATAAGTATTACTTGTTCTGTAAAATCTATTATGTAATAGATGTATAGTCTAATGGAAGTCAAGCTTGACTTTTGTTTTCAAGGACATGAGTTCGATCCACAAGATCACATTTGTCTTTTTCATTTTTTTACCAACTTTTAACCTTCATTATTTACTCCCCTTCTACAATTCCCCAAACAAAACCGTCATTTTTATTTTTCTTTACCAACTTTTTAATCTTCATTAATTTACTCCCCCTCTACAATTCCCCAAACAAAACCGAAACTCCCCATTTATTGTGAGAGAGTATCAATAAAAGGCCACCTCTTTTTAATTAGTTTAATTAATTTTAAGTCTCAATTTTCATTATCATTCCCAATTTCAAACGGAAAAATGACAGCCAAAAGTTTTAGTTTATATGTTATTTTGAGTGATTTCAATGATCAAAGAACGTCTTATACTTCTAAAATAATTATAAATTTTTTATTAATTAATTATTTTCGGCCCCCCCGGTTTCGAAATCCTGGCTCCGCCCCTGATTTTTGTAGCGGGAAGTCTAAACATGTCTTGTTTTTTACTAATTAGTTGTAGTTTGGAGATCTCGAAGGTGTTAGACATTTGCAAATATGTGACATTAGTATTGTATGTTAAGATGATCTTCTTAGATAAATATGAGTAAAATTCCCAATTACAAAGAATAACATTGACGTATAAGTGGAGTGTTAGATATAAGGCTGATGAGTGTGATCAACATAATAGATGAGTTAGACTGCAACATGGTGAATTGTCAAACTTTCCACTACAAAGACTAACATTGAGAGACAAAATATCGTTTTTTTCTCCCTATTCACACATTAAAGTTATGTTTTCAAGAAATTCTACAAATTATTAATATAGATTTATCTATATTCACGTCCATAATCTTTTCACGCAATCTCATCAATATCTTCTACATAACAATTTTTCAAGCACTTTGATGAGTTAATGGGAAAATAAGTTATGTAAATAAATTTGTGTGAATAACTGATCAAGTAGTGTGAGAAAATAATTTTTCGTACGTGAATAGTGAGCTGACCCATAGGGCCATAATTTAAGTACCAGTTGGATGTAGTAATGGAAATGGGCGGGAGTGGGTACCTCAGTACTCATACCCACCTCACACTAAGCGTGGAGATCGGATAATACCTGTGAGGATACAGAGCGAGGTGAGTCGATCCATTCTTATATGTTATTTTGGAAAGGAACGTTGATATTTAACTATTTTAAAACTAGACACAGAGGAAACACTTCATAAATAAATGAGAAAATATAACACAAGGAATAATTGAGTCTAAATAGTTGAAAGGCAGAGTTTTGAAATTTATTTGTGATGAAATATGATTTTTGAAAGGTCAAAAGATGAAAAATATAAGTAAATATTGATCCAAATCGTGATAGAACGGGTGGAGAACGGACAAGACCGATTGGAAGCAATACTCATGTTCCACTCCATGCTACTACAGTCCGGATAATACTTGCCTCGAGCAAATCGATACAAATCGAGTCACGGCGGATCGGGTCAGGAATGTGATCACAGCCAAGAATGAGCTAGCTAGCGAGACTGCGAGAGAACAATCCATCTAAACCTAATTGCCAAATGAGAGCAATCAATTTGGACTGTTGTTCCCTCTAAGTCTTTGCATTTCCATGAGATTTGGACTTTTAAAGTGAACACAAGGAAATGGTGAGAGTACGAGATACGTGGATGATAACTAATCACATAAATAACAAACGAGTTTTATTCCGAGGAAAACCAAAGAAGGGGCCAACAGGCAAAAGAAAAGTCAGCAGAGTAAGTGAGTTCCTGTTCCTAGGAAAAAAAAAGATCATTGCTTTGCCGAACAAGACAACATAATTAGTTAATTAAGCAGTATATGTATTATATAATCGGTAGATTTTGATTAGCTCATCATTAATTGATAATTACAAAATAGATGTATGGATGGCTTCCTTGGCAAGGGTTCCTTGTAAATATAACTAATTAACAAGTATTATGTAAATATTGATATATAGTTTACCAATGACCTACCACATTATATGTTTATTTGAGAGGTACATGTGACCTCTATTCCTACAATTGAAATTTCCTTTATATTTCATTATCTCTCATTCATATGTATTGATATAAAATTTTGTGGTGACCAAAGCGTGCCTATAAATAGAGCACACAATTGTATCAAAAGTGAAGAATGAATAAGAAAGCTCTCTTCCCCCTCTCGTCTTTCCCCTCTAATCTCCTTTTGTATTTTCTTAACACGTTAACAGCACGAAGCTCTGCTAAAATCAAGGTTGGTCATTCTCTCTCTACATAATTTAATATATTGGAATACAATCACAATATGATCAATGTATGCAAATTTTCATCTTCCTTCTTATCTCATTGTCTTATTTGTGTTGAGATTATCACATTTCAATATATCAAGATGGATGCTGCTCTTTTCTCGTAGTAGACCGTCCATTGATATTTTATCACGTACATCTATTTGAATAAAAATTTTGGGTTGTGTAATTTGATTTATATTATTCTATATTTTTACGATACATATATCGATTCCTTAAAATTATATTTGTATTTTGACATCATCGCAAATTAAAATTTGCACATGTAATAACAAGAAAAGTAATTTATGTGATGAGTTAATATCTTAGTTCTCCGTGTTATCATATTTTTATCATTCCTACATTGATATGTAGAATATGCAAGTTCTAAGAGCCCATATATTCTCTAGAAGTGGAAATTGAAGAATCTAATGACAAAGAAAGAAGTGGACACGGTAACAAAAATATTGGTTATGTATGTTACCGTTATAATGAAAAAAATGTGCTTGCCTTGTACTTGTTGTACGCAAAAGACTTTATTCTACCAATAATCAAAGGAAAAAGCGAATTCATATATGCTTCTGCAATATCAATATTATGGAAAAGACTTTTTGTATCATAAGTTGGTATATTTTTCATTAAAGATGAAAATGATATTATACTATTGTGAAATTTTCATTCCCAGAAGTGAATGAAACAAATCATTCCCATAAGTGAATGAAGCACTCCATTGCCAAAATTATTTGGAGTGAGACACAAATTATATATATGTAAATTGTATTGTTTGAATTTTTCACTGGAAGTGAGAAAGAGAAGAAAAAAAATTACAAATGAGAATGTTAATCATGACTTTTCCAGTAGTGAAAGTCCTGATAATATTTTGTACCTCTCATATTTTGTACCTATCATATATGGTGAAATGTGAAATGAAACACATGTACATTTCTCTATCAACCCTAAAGATAAATGTAGTCACCTAGTTGATGATGGTCATATTCCAAATAAATCCTATTTAAGTTTCAAAATTGATTGATTTCAAAATTAATACTTGTTATTATTATGCTTTATTGCACAAAAAATTCTTTTATCTTATTAATAAATAAATAATTACTTCATTACTTCATTACTAATATCACGTACTAAAGAGTAAGTAAAATCTCTCGAAAAGCTTATGTTTTGATTACTTGAAGTGACTAAATTATGTATGGGTGATAACAAATAATGTAATGATATTTTACTATGGATATGTGCCTACTAATAACACACTAAGTCAAAAGGTTACGGAGGGCAAAATTTAGTATTAAAGTGTCTAAAAGCTCCAAAAGAGCTAATGTTTTATGTGATATTAGTACTATCAGTACACATAAAAGTGTAAACTGGAAGTTTACAAGATTTGATAACTTGGTAATTTTGTTGGTCTGGTTAAACCATCCCGGATCATGATGTGGAAAAAAAGTTATTTGAGACTTCATGAGAACATCATATGAGAAGCCTAAGAATTCTTCAACTAAACAAACTTATTATGTCATGCTTGTTCTCAAGAAGAATAGAACAATTGATCATCGCTTGTAGAAGAGTTGGCAATCTCTTGAGATTTTATGGCAGTGTATGCAGAACAATACATCAGTCATGTGGATCATTTGTGAATTTTATGGGTTGATACATCAAATGGATGATCACATGTATTTTATCTAATCGCAACCCGATGTTTGCTAGATTGGTTGCCTCAATATGAATACATTTTGATGGTTATCCAATCAAACATCACTTTGCTTAAGAGAACAAGGTGAACCTTCAGGTCTCTTATCGAGGGCATGCTAGCTAGCAAGTGATAGTATTAGTTCTAGCTGGCAAGTGATAGTATTGGTTCGCATCAAACCAACAAGTTATCATATGAGAATATCAGGGTGTGCAACATACATCCCAATTGCTCCACCACAGTCTTAAGTTGATTCTCGTTTGAAATTGAGAATTTTTGTTGGGTATGAATCCCAAATGGGAAATTTGTTTGCAAAATTAT